GGTTGTGTGTCAACTTGGCTGGGCCTGGTTGAGTGGCTGGGCAGCTGGATATAATTATTCCCCACAGTGAGATTGGTAATTAATTCCATGGTGGAACCTACTGGAGCAGCTGAGTGGCTGCTTTAGGGATGTAGGCTGCTTCCAGTAGATAAGAAGCAACTTTGAGGAAGGTCTCCAGCTAATGGCATGCTTGAACCCTGCTTGTAGCCGAGTTGTTGTTCAGCAGCATGCCATGTTGCCCTGCCGATCTTGAGACTTTTAATGGACTTGAATTAATGGCCTGCTGTGTGGTTTGGTAACATCTGGACTGTGCCTTTTCATTTGTTGACCTTGGGTTTGTCAACCTCAGCAGCCAGCTGCTGCCTGAGTGAAGAAAAGCCTCCAGCTTCAGTGGGCCAGGAACAAGAGGCAGAGTTGAAGCCCAAGGTTGAGGGGCTTTCACCCAGCCCCTAGAGCCTGGCACTTTGAACTTGAACTGAAAGCCTCTAAAACTGTAAGAGAATAAACTTCTGTTTGTTCAAGCCATACCATTTGTTGTATATTCCTGTTAGAGTGGCACTAGGTAACCGAAACTGAGTATATATATACTCACTGTGGTCGAGTCAGTTTGACTCACAATGACCCCTCCTTGGGCTTCTGAGGCGGTATCTCTACAGAAGTAGATTGCCCAGTCTTCCTTCTGAGGAGTGGCTGGTGGGTTTGAACCGCCAGCCTTCTGGTTAGCAGCCAAATGCCTTAGGCACTATGCCACCAGAACTACCATATATATATGTATCTTCACATTGGCTTTTAGAGGTAGGTTTCATTATCATCTTCATTTTCAGATGAGAGAACAGAGGTGCAGCAAGGTTAAGCAACTTGCCCCAGGCCACACACCTCCAGTAAGTTGAAGAGCTGGGACTTGAACCCAGGCAGGCTGACAGCTGAGCCCAGGCTCATTGCAACTGCATGGTCATAGCTGGGGCCAGCTGCCTATATCAGGGTCGCTTGTTCATTCATGCAACAAATATTTATTGAGCAACTGCTGTGTGCCAGGCGCTGTGCTTGGCACTGGGGACATAGCAGTGAAAAGGACAGACAAGGTCTCTGCTGCCATGAAGGGGACATTCTGATGGAGGAATTGATGGAAGATGACAATGGACAAGTAAACACATTTGCAATGAGATCATTTCAGACTGTGATAAGTGTCACAGAGTAAATAAAACTGTAATAGGGAGTGACTTTGATGATAGTAACACAATGGACTCATTGTATGCCAAGAAGTATGCTAAATTCTTTATATATTTTGACACATTTAATCCTATGCCAACCCTATAGGGTGGGTACTATTATTTATCTCATTTTATGATGAGGAAAGTGAGACACAGAGAGGTTGAGTAAATTGTCCAGGGTCACACAGGAGAAGGAGCATTGCTGACAGAGGAAATAACAAATGCAAAGGCAGAGTCACAGGTATAGGTGTGAGGTTGTTCAGGGAACTGTTTCACTCCCTCACTCACTCACTGCCATCAAGGTGGATCCGACTCATAGCGATCCCCCTTTGGGTTTCTGAGGTGGTATCACTATGGAAGTAGATTGCCCAGTCTTCCTTCCGAGGAGTGGCTGGTGGGTTTGAACTGCCAGCCTGCTGGTTAGCAGTCAAACGCCTTAGGCACTACACCATCAGAGCTCCTCCAGAGGGCTGTTGAGGGGTCCGGATTTGAGGAAGGAGTGTTTGGTACTCAGGTTCTCCAGCAGGGGGCAGTAGAGACAGCTGGCAGGTGTAAGGGGCTGGTACAAGCTGCATGTTTGTGTCCTAGGAGGCCAACGGGCCTGCAGATGGCTATGCTGCTATCGCCCAGGCGGACAGGCTGACGCAGGAACCCGAGAGCATCCGCAAATGGAGAGAGGAGCAGAAGAAACGGCTGCAGGAGCTCGGTGAGGGCGGGGCTGAGGCTGGAGCTGGGCAGGGGTGGGTGTTATGGAGTCCCGCATCGCATCTCGCCTTATGCAGGAACTGGGCGAGGGCAGCTGGGGCTGCCTGCAAGGGCGGGACAGTCAGGGCAGGCAGCCTGCAGACCCAACTGGAAAGCTGCCACTCACTTTCCAACTGGGGCCTCAGATGCTGCCTCTAAGGTGACGGAACAGGAGTGGCGAGAGAAGGCTAAAAAGGACCTAGAAGAATGGAACCAGCGCCAGAGTGAGCAAGTGGAGAAGAACAAGATCAACAACCGGTGAGAGGGGCTGTGGGGACAGGAGGGAGCTATGAGAACATGAAGGGGTCATGGGGACATTTAGAGGGACTATGGGATGTGAGAGGGTCCATGGGGACATGAGGAGCTACAGGAAGGTAAGAAAAGGTATGGGGACAGTGAGAGGAGGTATAGGCACAATGGGAGGACCTATGTATGCATCCTGTTATAGGTAATTTTGTGACAAGAGCCTGGAAAAGTTGAAACCCCCAAGGCTGCTTCTGGGGGTGCCTGTGGGGTTCAGAGTCATTTAGAGCTGACACACTGTTGAAACTTTACTTCTTGTCCATGACCGAGAGCAGGGTCTGTCAGTCAGCAGGGAAGGCTCAAGGCCCCAGAGTGTGAGGCAGAGTATCCTGAGCTCAGCAGCCAACATCTTGATCAGAGAGAATACAGGCTTGGCTAGGGCAGGAAGAACCAGCCTGCTACAAGTGTTTGCTGGTGGTAGAAATGACACCACTTCAACCCAATGTGGCAAACAGCTAAGAGAAAATCAGTGCCCAATAACTGAAAGGCCAGGGACAGAACTGCAGGCTTAGCTGAGCCAGGGGCTCAAACACAGGCAGTTGGACTCATTCTCATTCTGCTCACCTCTGGGTCAGTTTCACCCTAGGATACACAGCCTGATATGTGGCAAGTTGGGTGCCAGCAGCTCTAGGCTTCTGCCCCATCCTCTCAGCCACCCCAGTGAAATCAGTATCTTGTTCCCAATAGCTCTAGCCAAAGTCTTGGGTCTGACCCTCTTTGGTCTAGCTTGGGTCATGGGCCCTCCCATCCAGGTCTAGTGAGCATAGCCAGAAGGGGTGACAGTCCACTTCCCCAGGCTGTGCCTAGGTCAGCCCCATGTAAACCTCAGGGGCTGAAGTGGGGAAATGGATTCTGTAAAGGACAATCAGGGCATCCTTCCCTAGGGGAGGGGATAGATGCTGGATAGGCAAAGATAGTGGTTGTCCACCAGAGAATACCTTTGTGGAAATGGTCTTGGGCTAGACACTGCTTTTGAGGCTGTGCCCATCACAGTACAAACCCTCCCAGGCAGGGGACGTCCACTCTGAAACTGCTGCATGCCAGGCCCTAGGTGGGTGACCCTGGGGAGAGATGAGGAGGGCCCAGTCTGTGTTGCCACAGATATTGGAGGGGGAGAAATGTACGTGGTGGCTGGACTCTGGGAGCTCTGTGGGGACATGGGCTTTGGAGGATGACTAGCTCATTAGGAAAAGAAAAAGGGCAGTGGTTGGAGGTGGGCATTCCAGACCAAGGAACAGTGTGGTATAAAAGAAGGAACTTGGTATCTAGGGCAACAAGAGAGTCAGCAGAGAAGCAAGTTGGGGTACATGGGCAGGAAGTGGGACATCACACGGTGCAGGGTCTTGACCAGTGGGATTGAGCGGATGAATGGGGAGTGGGAGCCACTGGAGGCTTCTAAACAGGAGTAATATGATCAGGGCTGAGATTTCTAAAAGGTACTGTGCCCAGGGTAGAGGATCCCCACTGTCCTCTCCAGTGCTGTAGATAGTTCCTGGGACTTCCAGAGCTGTGCTTCCTAATACCTCTCTCACTCAAGATACTAATGCTATCTCTTTCTCTTTAACCCTCTGCCTGCCTGACCATCTTGCCTTCCTGTATACCCCCACCGCTGCCTAACCCCTCTCCTAATCTCTCCCTCAAGGATTGCTGACAAAGCCTTCTACCAGCAGCCAGATGCTGACATCATCGGCTACGTGTATGTGTCTCCTTTGCTCCTCTGCTGGGGAAGCAGGGTGGGCAAGGGTACCTGGGTATGGCTGGCATAGTTTTGAATCTCTTGATTTTGGGTTATGAGTATGGCTGGGATCGGGGCAACAATCCCAGCAGGAGGGGAACCCCAGGGTGGGTACAGGAACCAATCTGTGCCTTCATTTCTCCAGCACACATTTATCGAGCATCTGCTCTGCCTGAGCTTTGATAATCAGGGCCCCCAAACCAAACTCTTTAGCAACCCTTTAGGACAGAATAGAACAGCCCTATAGGGTTTTCCAAGGCTGTAAATCTTCATGGAAGCAGGCTGCCTCACTTTCTCCCTCAGAGTGGCTGGTGGTTGAAAACACTGATGTTTTGGTTAGTAGCCAAAAGCTTTAACCACAATGCCAGGAGATCATGCCTTTTACTCAGGGAAGCTTTGCTAAATCAGAGCCTTGGAGGGTGACCAGATGAAAGACATCTTTAGGTGGGAAGGGCAAAGGGTAAAAAAATAAGTTTTTGTTGTTGTCAGGTGCTGTCAAGTTGTTTATGACTCATAGTGACCCTACGTACAACAGAACAAAACACTGCCCAGTCCTTGCCATCCTCACAATCACTGCTATATTTGAGCCCATTGTTGAAACCACTGTGTCAATCCATCTTGTTCAAGGTCTTGCACTTTTTTGCTGACCCTCTATTTTACCAAGCTTGATGTCATTCTCCAGGGCCTGGTCCTCCCTGATAACATGTCCCAAGTAATGAGACAAAGTCTTGCTTCTAAGGAGCATTCTGGCTGTACTTCCTCCAAGACAGATTTGTTTGTTCTTTTAGCATTCTGTGGTATATTCAATATTCTTCACCAACACCATAATTCAAAGGGATCAATGGTTCTTTGGTCTTCCTGATTCATTGTCTAGCACTCATATGCATGTGGAACAATGGATGGCTAGGGTCAAATGCACCTTAGTCCTCAAAGTAACATCTTTGCTTTTTAACACTTTAAAGAGTTCTTTTGGAGCAGATTTATCCAATACAATACGTTGTCTGATTTCTTGACTGTTGCTTCCATGGGTGTTGATTGTGGATCCAAGTAAAATGAAATCCTTGACAACTTTTTTTCCTATTTATCATGATGCTGCTTTTGGCCCAGTTGTGATGTCTGTTTTCTTCATGTTAAGTGTAATTCACACTGAATGCTGTAGTCCCTGATCTTCATCAGTAAGTGCTTCAAGTCCTCTTCACTTCCAGCAAGCAAAGTTCTGTTGTCTGCATATCACAGGTTGTTAATGTGTCTTCATCCTGATGCTGCATTCTTCTTCATACAGTCCAGTTTCTTGGACTATTGGCTAAGCATACAGATTAAGCATGGTGACAGGATACAACCCTGACACACACCTTTCCTACTTTTAAAACACACCATATCCCCTTGTTCTATTTGAATGACTGCCTTTTGGTCTATGTACAAGTTTTGCAGGAGCACAATGAAATGTTCTGGAATGCTCATTCTTTGCAATGTTATCAGTTATTTGTTATGATCCACACAGTTGAACGCCAGTGCATAGTCAATCCAACACAGGTAAACATCTCTCTGGTATTCTCTGCTTTCAGCCAAGATTCACCTTCAGCCAATATCCATCAATGGTATCCTTCATTCTACATCCTCTTCTGAATCTGGCTTGAATTTCTGACAGTTCCCTGTGTGTGGACTGCTGCAGCAGTTTTTAATTATCTTCTGCAAAATTTTACCTGCATGTGTATCAATATATTGTTCAATAATTTCTGCATTCTGTTGGATCACCTTTCTTTGGAATGGACACAAATATGGATCTCTTCCCATTGGTTGGCTAGATGATAGCTGTCTTCCAAATCTCTTGGCATAGATGAGTGAGCACTCCCAGTGTTGCATCAGTTTGTTGAAACATATCAGTTGGTATTCCATCAATTCCTGGAGCCTTATTTTTTTGCTGAAGCCTTCAGTTCAACTTGGACTTCTTCCTTCAGTATCATATGCTACCTCCTGAAATGGCTGAATGTCAAACAGTTCTTACGGTATAGTGATTGTGTATTCCTTCCATCTTCTTTTGATGATTCCTGTGTCATTCAGTATTTTGCCCATGTTTTTTTGTTGTTAGATGCTGTCGAGTCAGTGCTGAATCACAGTGACCCTATGTACATTTTGCCCATAGAATCCATCAATACTGCTTGAACTTTTTCTTCATCTCTTTCAGCTTAAGAAATGCTTAGCATGTTCTTCCATCTTGATTTTCTAACTACAGGTCTCTGCACATTTCATTTTAATACATCATCATTCTTCCATTCACTTTAGCTACTCCGTGTTCAAGAGCAACTTTCAGAGTCTCTTCTGACATCTATTTTGGTATTTTCCTATTTCTTGTCTTTTTAATGATCTTTTGCTTTCTTCATGTATGATGTCTTTGATGTCATCCCCCAGCTTGTCTGGTCTTTGATCATTAGTGTTCAATGCATCAAATCTATTCTAGAGATGGTCTCTAAATTCAGATGGAAAATACACCAATTTATACTTTTGGCTTTTGTGGATTTAATTTCCTTCACCTTCAACTTGAACTTGCATATGAGCAATTGATGGTCTGTTCCACAATCAGCCCCTGGCCATGTTCTAATGTTGATATTGAGCTTCTCCAGCATCTCATTCCACAGATACAGTCAATTTGATTCCTGTGTATTCCATGTGGCAAGGTCCACATGTAAAGTCACTGTTTATATTGTTGAAAAAAGCTATTTCTAATGATTAAGTTGTTGGTCTTGAAAAACTCTATCATGCATCATTATTATCATGTGTGCATCTATCTCTGGCATCACTGCTACCTGGAATACAAGAAAGGATCTTATATGTACACCTATCCCCTGCCCCAACATGTACTGCTACTCCTCAGATAGACCTGCAGACTATCTTGAGTTCAAGTCCTGCCTCCTGTTTTTAGCTCTGTTACTTTAGAAAAAGTGATCGCTTCTCTGTGCCTCAGTTTCCCTACCTATCAAATGGGGATAACAACAGCAACTCCCTCACTTCAGAGGATTCAAATAAAATAAGAAAACAACAACTTTGGCCTGTGTTTAGCCATAGCCCTTTTCAGACCACCAGAGGCCTTTCTCACACACCTCTGGTTTGGGGTCTAATAGCACTGTGACTCATCTAGACAGGGCTGGCAAGCAGATTTCACCATGTGCCACCTCAACATATTGACAGAGATAGGCTAGTGGTGAAAAGGGGTGGTGTGGATCCTGATGCTGAAGGAGGAAATGCAGTGATTAAGGAGTGATGTTGACTGTGTGTGTGTGCACACCAAGGCTTTGCTATTCTTGCTGTAGCTGTTTTTTCCCCTGGCACGCCCTCAGCAGCCCCTGTGCTCTCTGGGCTGGGCACACCAGGACAATGGCTTTCCTTCTTTCTTCTTCCCTTCCTTCCTCTCACCTGCCCCATACCTACTGGTACCCGCCCTATGTCAGTCCCCATTTTAGAAGCTGGTCAAATATGAATAGGATACACAGACCATAACCCCGAGTTGCTCTTAGTCTGGAGTATGTTGTCATGAAAGGACACAGTGTGCCTTCCTCTGCCAGGGGAGCCAGGACTGACATCAGGATGCAGGACATTTGGCTGGACCTTCAAGTGTGACAAGGGCTTTGTGTGGTGGGCAGGGTGGGAAAAGAAGGGCATTCCAGGTGGAAACAACTAAAGCAAAGGTATAGAAACAGGAAGTACCCAGCTGCCTGAAGCGGCTGGAGGGGTGAGGCTGAGAGATTAGGTTGGGGCCAGTTGCTAAGTATCTGAAGTGCCATGCTGTCTCAGCTCTCTACTGCTGCTATAACAGAAATACCACAAGTGGATGGCTTTAACAAACAGAAATCTATTCTCTTACAGTTTATAAGGCTAGCTTCCAAATTCAGTGTGCTGGCTTTAGAGGAAGATTAGGCTAGAAGTCTGAGTTCACAGTGCTGGTTCTAGGAACTGGCCCATCCACCTTGGGCTTCAGCTCTGCCCTCCAGGCCCACTAGAGCATTTGCAGGCTTCTCCTGACTCATGAAGCTCCTGGCTGCTGAAGCTGTCAAATCCAAGATTGGCAAGCAAAATGGCAGATTGCTGGCTAACACGCTGCAAAGGCAACAATCCCAAGATTGGCAGGGAATGTGATAGGCCAGTGGTTCAAATATAGGAACTGAAGATGAATGTTGGGCCAAATGCAGGATCCAAAATGAGCAAAAATTTAGAGATCTTTCCCAAAGCTTCTCCCTATACACTGGAAGCAGGCCACACCCAGAAGGGAACTCTCCAACTAATTAGCTGTTCACAGCAGATTCCACCATAGAGGTGATTATACCACATTCATCTCATCATGAAGAATGAAAACATACAGCTGCCAAGCCAGTCAAAATCATGGCCAAGTCAAGCTGACACAACCTTAACTACACACATGCTAAGCTTGGACTTGATCTTGAAGGGAATGGGAGCCATGGGAAGTTCTAGCAGAGAGTGGGGATGGTAGGTATGCACCTGTGCTGGGGAAAACCATGGCGGGAGGGGGAGGGCATTCAGTGCTCCTGCCAAGCCAGAGGACATGGCTCAGGGAGCTCTAAATCCTGAAGCAAGCAAGAGCCTAAACCAGAGCTTTAACGTGTCTGGGATCCTGTTAAAATGCAAATTCTGACTCAATATAACTGAGGCAGGACCCAGAGTATGCATTTCTAACAAGTTCCAAGGTGATGCTGCTGCTGGTGGTCTGGAGTGTAGCAGTGAGGATAGACAGGGGCCACCTATCTCTGAAGGGACAGGCCAGCTCCCCCCATCCTTACTTGTCATCTGACCCCACACAGCACTATGCAATTCCCCAAGTCTACTCTTGTCACCTCATTAGATCCCCAGGACACCCTGCCTGGTGAGACATACTGGTAGGGTGGAGGCTTTAGTTTGGGAAATGAACACAGAGCAAGTCAGCATAATCACTAGGGAGGTGCCAGGCCAGCTGATTTGGGCCCAGCCCATCCTCAGCACAGACACTGCAGGGCTCCAGGACACAGACTCAGCCCTCCCCATCCAAGAATCTATTATTGTCCTTCCCTCAGTGATTCTCATGTTTGGATTGTGTTCACTATACTCACCATATTTTGTTTCCCCACTACTCCTAAACCAGTGAGTTCTGTAACTGTCAGGTAGAACTGATACCCTGATTTGATTCTAACAAAAGGATAGAACAGGGGAGCACTCTCCAAGTGGCAGCTCAATAGAGATCTTTAGTTAGGTGGTCTGTCAATGTCCTATCTCTGCCAAGTTTCTGGAAATGTTGCATACAGCTAAGATATTGCCATTAGTTCCTCCAAGGGCCTTTAGGTGTCAGGAGCCCCATGCTGGAAACTCCTGATGGAGAGGTAAGAAACAAACAGTGCTGAGGCTGGGGCAGGGGCAGGTGGCAACAAGACCTAAATGATGAGAAGCAGCAAGCCATAAGAAGGTCTAAGGGAAGAACACTCCAGGTAGAGATGACACCAAGTGCAAAGGCCCTGAGGTAGAACCAAGTTAGGAGACTTCCTTTGATCCCAATGCTATTCCTGGAGGGTCTGAAGTCCAGGGCTGGAGAGCAGACCTCTGGACAAAGCAGCCTTGCCCAGTTAGAACAGAGCTTCACTGGTCCAGGGGGGAGGGGGACATCTGGGAAAACTGTCTTCTATCTGCAGGGCATCTGAGGAGGCTTTTGTGAAGGAATCCAAGGAGGAGACTCCAGGCACTGAGTGGGAGAAGGTGGCCCAGCTGTGTGACTTCAACCCCAAGAGCAGCAAGCAATGCAAAGATGTGTCTCGCCTGCGCTCAGTGCTCATGTCCCTGAAGCAGACACCACTGTCCCGTTAGGTGCCTGCCTGTGGAAGCATGGCCACAAAGCATGGGCAGGGCAGGGCAGAAGAGGGGCAACTGCTTCGGGAGGGGGGGGAGACACACCACTCCAGCAGCTGCTACCTACAGCCTATTCTGTTCCTCCTCATCTCCTGGGGCTGGGAAGGGGACCCCTCACCCTTCACCCTCATCTCCTGCTGGCACTATGGCCCAGACCCTCACGCCTCCTGTCAGTTCACTCAATTGTGACTGTCCCTTCTGATGTATTTTTTCTTGGCTTAAAGGGTGTGTTGTTAAGTTTTTTTTACACTTATTATCATTCTCATTCTCTGGAAGCCACACCTGGTGTCAGAGCTCAGTTTGTGCTCAGATTTTCCCAGCTAGGATCATTGGGAGGTGAGAATATTCCCCTGGAAACCCAGGAGCTCCCAGACAGAAGTGGGAATCTCAACCTATTTGTGTCTATTGCCCCCACCCGTGGAAGGACAGAGAACTTCTTATAGAATGCTTTCACAATCTCAATCCTTTCCATCCTTTGACTAGCTTGTTATATAACCAAGGACACCAAGGCTTCCAGAGGGTAAATGGCTTGGAGGGGGAAAAGGCAAGTCTGGAGCTGGAGAAGACACCTTCGCCAGATCTTCTTCCTCAAAGCTTTTATGAGGAGGCCTGGTGGGACTGGCAGGACTCCTGGATGCGGATGGCCCACTGCTCTGCGCATTTCACCCCCTACTTCAGCCGTGTCCCTCCGTGAGTTTGGTTATCAACAACCAGTGACCACACCTTCTTCCCCTTCACAAAGGTTGCAAACAGTCTACATCAAAGCCATTGTGACATGCCCAGTGTTTAAAAATAGTTGAGTAACTGCCAACACTTAAAATTTATAGTATTTCACCAAAAAATCTGCATTTCTGACTTGAAAATCAGCAGCTTTGGCATCAATGGGTCCACATCCCTGTATAGCAATGAGCCCAATGAATAGTGGTCATCCTCTTTAAATGACCATATCCTTGTGCCCAAGGGTCACCAAATGGCCCTGATCTACATTTATAATCCCCACCTTACAGCCTGGAGACTAGGGTGGGGCGAGACAGTAAAACCCTTCACACTAAGCAACCTGGACTGTCAGGGTCTACTTCTCCACTCCCTCCTTTTCCTTTTTGCAAGCTTGATGCCTGTTATTAAAAATGATGGAGTCACAAAATGGAAGGAGCTTGGGTTCCTCAGTCAATATCCAAGGAGCACTGACCACTGACAAAGGAGCTCTAGTGGCATAATGCCTATGGCATCTCACTGCTAACCAGAAGGCTGGTAGTTTAAACCCACCAGCCACTCTGTGAAAAGAAGACTGGGCAATCTACTTCCATAGAGAAGCCGCCTCGGAAACCCAAAGGGGGTTGCTATGAGTCGCAATAAACTTGATGGCTGTGAGTTTGGTTTTGGTTTTTCACCACAGGCAGGAATACCTATGTGAAATTTTTCACAAGTGTGGAACTCATGGTGTAAAAATGGCATGGTGTCTGACCTTCTCTAACTTAGAGAAGAAGAATCAAGAGTAACATCAGCCCAGGGCTGATTCCCATGAGGTGCAGATCTGACATACCTCCACTTTCTAAACTTTTCACCAATTTTGACACCAGCCGTCCCTCCCACAGCACTCTACTTCTCTTCCCGGTTTGATAGTTCATTGCAATGGTCATACAGAACTCAGACTATAATCATGATTATGGGGCTTATTAGGAACCTTAACAGGTTCAACTCAGGATCAGGATCAGGAAGCACGCTGGCAGTCTGGAAGGCTCCCCCAAAGTGGAGAGCACATCCTCCCTTAGTGCAAGACAGCTCTCTCAGCTCCTCTCGGTAGTGCAAGCAAGCAGGCCCTTCTCTCTGCCTTGCATGCTCACTGAGGACAAGCTTCTTCTCAGCCCCTTGAGGATGGGATCCTCTTGGCCCTGGCCTTTGCCCTGCTCAGGCAAGTGTTACAAACCTCTTTAGCTCTACCAGTAAGTGTCTGGAGGCACCCTACTCCACTAGGAAGCCTACTGCCCAAAGACTCAGCTATATCACTTGAAGGGTCAGCATGCCCATTGTAGCCCCCTTGTTCTGTGGGCTGGGAAGCCCACAAAAGACTAGACTTGTGCTAGTCTCTTGGTTCTGCTGTCACTTGTCATTTTCAGTGTCAGAGTTCTCTGTCTTCTGATTCTAAAAGGTGTTCAGCACAGGGGACCCTGGGTCCAAAGGACACACTCCACTCCTCTTAATGGTAGTGAGGTCCCCTCCTGTCTGTGGGATTTGCTCCTTTTAAGCCTCAAAGCAACCAAACTCACTGCCATCACGTTGATTCTGACTCAAAGCAACCCCCATAGGGTTTCCAAAGCTGTACATCTTTATGGAAGCTGACTGTTACAACTTTCTTCCATAGAATGAGTGGCTGGTGGGTTTGAACCACCAGCCTTCTGGTTAGCACTATGCAACCAGAGCTCCAGGCTGTCCAATTTCCTTAGTGGACACAAACACCTTATTTGCATTGTCCTAACCAATCATTTTGTGGGAATCACAAGACCACGGCTAGAAGGGCCATATTATAATTCATTACACTGCACATGAGTTGCCTCTCTAGTTCTAGAGTGTGCTCACGTCTCCTGGTCTCTTTTCTTCCATAACTCTAAAACCCTAAGTACACAAACTACTAGTAAGCTTTTGAACTATGCTCTTTCCACTACACCAGCTTTTTCTGAGCCTCAGTTTCCTGTTCCCTACACCAAGCACAGGGGAGGGGCTCTTAGGAGGTAGGAGTGGAGGGGAAAGTTCCTGGCTCTGACAGGACCATAGCAGCTCCAATCACTTTTATGACAGCCTCTTCTGAAGGAAGGTTTTATTTTTCCTTAGTGAAAGCTTGAAAAGGATTGACTGATAAATTTTTCTCAAATTACCCAATCATAAGCATCACTCTAGACCCACTGAACTAGTAACTCAAGGAGGACGTGGCAATCCCTACTTTTAACAAGCACCACAGGTCACTTACTAGGAAAGTTTGACAATCACTATGCCACATGATTTCTAAGAGTTCTCAGTCTGAAATCCGTCTCCTCCCCCAAACGAAAGGGATGAGCCTGAGAATAAATTCACCAAACTACAAGTGGAATAGGGTTTATTAAGTAGGCAATGGAGTCGGTACGGCACAAACAAAAGTACCCAACATCCAAACTGAATCGAACCTAGGATTCCTTGGGGGAAAAAAAACATCTGTCGGTTACAGATTCTGCCTAGGGCAACTCACCACTTCCCCATCAACACAGTGGCCTGCCATTGGAAATAAGAGGCTGATATAAGTCCCCTGGCATGGCCGGTAATTGCGCCTGAGGTTGGGAATGATCTCTGCGGCGCTTTCAAGGTCGGGCTGGTGGCTCACTGTCGAGACCTCATGGCAGATGCAGCCAGACCCATCAAGATGGCTGCGATCGTGAAGCCCTGGGCAACAATCCGAGTGCGCATCATGAGCTGGGAGCGGTGGCTCTGGCCCCGGTGGAAGCAGTAGAGGCCGTAGGTGAGGGCGGTCGCCGTACCTAGGCAGCCTGAAGAAAGGACGAAGTGGCTGGGGAAAGGAAGGCCCCGTTCCGGAGGCCCCTTCCCGCTTTAGGCCTTTCTTCTCGGGAGGACGGTCTCTGAACAGCAGGCACTGGGAGGGAGTCGTCTGCGCTTCAGAGTCCGCCCTACTCCAGCCTCGCCTCCTTCCTAGTCCCCCAATTCAGGCAGCTGCCCCTTTCCCAATCAGGTTCACGCTCACCGACCCACCCTTTCGCCACATCTCCGGTTCACTCTCATGCGGGTCCGCTCTGGCGTCCTTGGTCCTCCCCTATTCCATACCCCTGGACAACAGCGTCCTCTCACTCTTCAGTTCCCACAGCACCCGCTTACCAATGGGCACCATTGGATTCTCTCGGGTCTTGCGAATGAACTTTTCCTTGAAACTTTCGGTCTCTCTGTAGATACTGGGGCTAAAACCTTCAATGGCTGGGGGCTGCGATGGGTCAAAGGGTGCCTCCGGAGTTCCAGGAGTCGCCATACCGGATGCAACACCTGCTGGAGAAAACAAGGACGCTAAACTCCACCGCCTGATGACGTCCGAAAAGGGCAGGAGGAATGCATTTGCTGAAGGTTGTACGCAGGCGCAAGCGCGCTTTGCATTCTGGGTGTCGTAGTAGTCTACATGGTATCACTACGAGAGGACTACATTTCCCTAAAAGCCTGCAATCCGTGTTCAAACCAGCCGGAAGGAATCTGCTGCACGAGGTGTTGAGTGTGAGAGTGCCTGAGTTGTTGGTTCTGTGGTCACCACTATGCCCAAAGCCAAGGGCAAGACCCGGAGGCAGAAGTTCGGTTATAATGTCAACCGGAAACGGCTGAATCGGAATGCTCGGCGAAAGGCAGCGCCGCGGATCGAGTGGTGACTGGGCCGGGATTGGGGAGACAGGGGCTAAGGACCCTAACGGCACGTGAGGTGACCAACTCGCGATCTTCCTCTCTCTGCCCGCAGCTCCCACATCCGACATGCCTGGGACCACGCCAAATCGGTGCGGCAGAACCTGGCCGAGATGGGGCTGGCCATGGACCCCAATAAGGCCGTGCCGCTCCGTAAGAGAAAGGTACTGACAGGGCACGGTCTTGGTACTTGCCACCCCACCCCGCCAAACTGAGCCTGGCGTCAAAACTTGAGTGTGTCCATTACCTCTCTCGCTGATTTCCGGCGTTTGCGACCTCCCCACAGCACAGCTTGCATTGATTGAGGTTAAGGGCTCCTCTACAACTTTATCCTCATATCATCTCTCCAGCACATTTTGGACCTGGGTTGGAACTTTCCCTTGCTTCCTCCACTCATCAACCGCCGCCCCCCACCCCGAAATTAGTCTGCTTGGGAACATGACATTTCAGTGGTATTTACCAGATTTCAACTTTTCTCGCCCTTAAATTTCCTAACGAGTACTCCCCAGAGTTTGAAACCTTTGCTTGTTTCTCATCCCTACCCCCATCCCCCAGTCATCCATTTCATCCTTGACTTGAGGCTTTCTAGGACTACCTCCCCCGCCCCGCCCCCATAAGTCTTTTCTTACGTAGACCACCCTTTCTAAAACATGTTGTTGTTATGTTGTTATGTGCCGTCGAGTCGGCCCCGACTCATAGCGACCCCTCCTTGGGTTTCCGAGGCAGTATCACTACGGAAGTAGGATTGCCCAACCTTCCTTCCGAGGAGTGGCTGGTGGGTTTGAACCGCCAGCCCTCTGGATAGCAGTCAAGTGCTTTTAGCCACTATGCTACCAGAGCTCCTTCTAAAACATAACCCCTCTTCAATCACTAACCCCTTCCCTGCTTTATTTTAATTCATAGTACTTGTAACTGTTGTGTGCCATCGAGTAGATTCCGACTCATAGCAGCCCTATAGGACAGAGTAGAAGGAGGGTTTCCAAGGAGACTGTAATCTCTACAGAAGCAGACTACCACATCTTTTTCCTGTGGAGCAGCTGGTGGGTTTGAACCACTGACCTTTTGTTTGACAGCTGAGCACTTAACCACTGTGCCACCAGGACTCCTTGCACTTGTAACTACTTGGTGATATATACTGTGTATATCTGCCCCCCTCCCCTTGTGCTCCTCAAAGACAAGGACTTTGTTTTGTTCCCCACTAAGCCCCCAGTGGTATTAAGAATGTAGTTAGTGCTCAATAAGTTGTTAACTTAAGAATGGGTTTCCTGAATGAATTTGTCCCATTGCCCTTAAACAGGTTTCTTTTTATTCCTTCCTACAAGAGGAAAATGGCATTTACTGCTTACCAAAAAACCCTGCCAAAAACCAAACTCACTGCCATTGAGTCAGTTTCAACTCATAGCGATCCCCATTGGGTTACCAAGGTTGCAAATCTATACAGAAGCAGATGACCTTATCTTTTTTCTGCAGAATGGCTGGTGGGTTCAAACCACTGACATTTTGGTTTGTAGCCAAATGCCTTGACCACTACCATCAGAGCTCCTTGAACACCTGCTAAGCTATAGCTAAATATTGTCAAGTAGGTCCTCCCCATAGAGAAGCTGTTTGGCATTTCCCCCTCATTGTGAATCGTAAAGCACTTTCAGGTACATAGTTTCAAGTGAGACAGGCAAGGAGTGTTCTACCTGTTTGATAGATAAGCACAGAAAGATTAATTACTTGGCATGTGTTTCTTTTGGGAACCATGGATTCTAGCTGATGAAGGCTTCAGGGCATTGCTTCTTGTTGTTACCTGGTTCTGCCTGACCTTGGGCAAGGATTCTTCTGCAGCGGTGTTGGGATGGGCAGGATCTGTTTTCCTCGTTGAGGATCCTTCCTTTGTCTACTGGTCTCTTCATGGGCTCTCTGTTTTGCAGGTGCATGCCATGGAAGTGGATGTTGAGAGGACCAAGGAGCTGGTGCGGAAGCCCTATGTGTTGAACGGTGGGTGTGGACCACATGCCTCTAGGTTATCATCCTGCACTGTCAGAGCTGGAAGGGGTCCTCAGATGGGTTCATTTTACAGATGGAGAAACCGAGGTTCAGAGGGGAGAAGTGAGCTGTTGCAGGGCTTACAGAGTTAGAACTGTGTCCCTGTAATATTTTCAGTCTACTGACTAACCTCATGTGTATAAACTAAGGTTAGAGAAATGTCGACGGAGGAGGTACCTAGGTGTCCGAGGACAGAAAAGAAACCACTGAGTCCCAGACAGGTGTTGGACTTCTCATGAATTTAAGGATAAACTGATTTTGGAGATTCCATCATCTTGTTTAATCTTCCCAACTACAAATTAATTTCATGTATAATAAGGGTGTAGAGGCTGAGTATTCAAGTATAAGAAAGTAAATCCTGCATGGAAGCAGGAGTCCTCTGGAATTCTCCATTCATCCTTCTCATTTCTTGCCATGGATTTTTAATAATTTTCCAAAAAACAAAAGGGTTTGACTGGACAGCCATTTGATATACAATCCCTTTTGTTCATGTCTTTAGTTTATCTTGGTGGTTCTCATGAGAGTTACTGTATAGGATTATACATACAAAACCATGTTTATTTATTATTGTTGTTGTTATGTGCCCTCAAGTCAGACCTGACTCATACGACCCTTCCTTGTGTTTCCGAGGCAGTATCACTATGGAAGTAGATTGCCCCATCTTCCTTCTGAGGAGTGGATGGTAGGTTTGAACCACCAGCGTTCTGGTTAGCAGTCAAGTGCCTTAGGCACTATGCTACCAGAGCTCCCTTATTTATTATAGTCAAGGGTAATTTTGATTCTAAGCAGTTTTAGTACCCAACCCCTGGGTAAGATTTGATAGTCTTATTTATTTAATCTTCATGAGGTAGCTCCTACTCTCAAATGGGGATGTATTTTCTCAGGTCCCCTAGCTATTTTCAAAGTGAAACCATCATCCATTACCTCAATTTTCCTTACTTGGAGCAGTGAGATGCCTGGGCCCTGCTTCATGCCCCAGTCCCTGCAGCTCTAGTTCTCATTTACTCAGACCTCTTTGTTTTATATATTGACTTAACAAAAGAGTTTCTCAACCAGGGAGTTTTTGAACTAGAAGAGACCCCTCCCCTGTGGGCTGGGAGTGTATCTTCATCTCTATCCTCAGGATGTGGCACTAAATAGAGGTTCTGAGTTTGGTGCTCTTATTTTACCCATCTTAAGCCCAGAAAGAGGTGACTGGCCTTTCAGTAAATTGCCACACTGATAGATGATTGTACCATAGGAGGCAGAGCCTGGAGTCTTACAGGCTGGAAAGAAAAGTTCTAGCATTGAATTTGGGGGTTGGGAGGCAAAGCCCACCAGATGGTTGGAGTATTGGCTGGTGGCTTAGGATTGGGTGAAGGGTTGATTGGACAGCTCAAATAGTACAGAGGCAAAGCCTCATTTCCTGTCACCTGGCTTCTCTCACCCCAGACCTGGAGGTAGAAGCTAGCCTCCCAGAAAAGAAAGGAAATACCCTGTCACGGGATCTCATTGACTACGTACGCTACATGGTGGAGAGCCATGGGGAGGACTATAAGGTGAGTGACTCAGGCCTATCAGGAAGGATGACTGGGGCTTGTGGTAAGATACCTGGGCTGTTCATGGCCTATTCTTCTTGCTTAGTGCCTATTTCCTAAGACCAAGTGGAAGGAAAGGGAGGAAAAGAGACTCTAGGAGATGAATCCTATGGACAGGGATCTAACATTAACAGAAGCTCAGAACAGGCAGTCTGAGTGGCCTGTCTTACAGACAGGTGGTTTCACTTACATGAGGACTAGTTGCCATTTTAATTGTGAGAGGTTTCAAGTAGAAGTATTTTTTTTTTTATTGTGATTTGGGTGAAAGTTTACAGAGCAAATTCATTGTCCATACAGCAGTTCACATACACTTTTGTCTCATAACATTGACTACAATTTACCACAATGCTTCCCTCCCACTTCCTCCCCATAATTATCTCCTCCCTATGTCCATCGCTCCATGCATTCCTGCCCCCTGAGCTGTCTCCCTGTGCATAAACAGCCCTTCTATTCTCCTATGATTTTTTTCTCCAAAAAGTGTATCTACCTAGTGTAAATGGTCAGATCTTAGCCTGTCTTTTTTTGTTTGGCTGGAAGCCATAGGTCTGGGTTCAATTCCAGACCTGAAGGGCAGCTAGGGGCTATAGTCTCAGTGGTTCCACCAGGCTCTGATGACCAGCAAACCTGGTTCCCTTTTTTGTTTTTCATATGATTTTGAGTTTTGTTCCACATTGTTCTCCCTTTCTGTTCAGGATCTCCTACATAGATCCCCCTCTGAGTGGTTGACAGTGGTAGCCGGGTATCATCTAGTTCTTCTGGTCTCATAGTCATGTAGGCTGAGGATCGCATAGTGTACCAGTCACTTGGACTAATTGTTTCCATGCATCTTTGGTTTTCTTCATTCTTCTTTCCTCTGGATAAGGAGAGACCCATCGTTGCATCTAGATGGCTGCTTGCAAGCTTTTAAGATCCCAGTCACTACTCGCCAAAATAGGAGGTGGAACAATGTTTTGTATACTGTGTTATGCCAGTTGAGCTTGATGTCCCCTGTGACTATGGTCCCGAGCCCACAGGTTCAACTACTTGGTCACTCAGGGTAGCTGGCTGGGCCCAGGAAGTGACTACAACCTTTTCAGCTCTACTTTACACCTGGAAATTTTTTACAGAACATACAAATACACTTGTAGAGACATTGTCTGCAACCCTATACATGGTCTTGGGTACACTCCTCCCTGTATAGACATACCTAATAGTTCAGCCTGTCCACCCATCTGTCCACTCGTGTATCTATGTTTGCCTTCATTGACAACATAGTACTGTATGTGCAGAAGGGTTCATCTTTGTTGTCTATACCTCCCATGTACCTCTGTCTTCTTCTATGCCACCATGTTGATCACTCACATTTGGGGCCTTGCCCTTCTCTTCACCTAAATCAATACTTGTCTCTACCTATCTAACAGTGTTCCCTTCCTTCCCCTCCTACCCTTCGTAACCAACAAAGAACATTTCCTTCCATATATAAACCTTTCCTTGACTTTTTACAATAACGGAATAATACAATATTTGTCCTTCTGTGATTGGCTTATTTCACTAAGCATAATGTCCTCCAAGTTCATCCACGTTATGCAGTGTTTTGCAGATTCTGCGTTACTCTTTAGGGTTGCATAGTATTCCATTGTGAAAAGTCTGTATTTTTGGCTTCTTTTTAAAAATCAGAAGCTCTAGCTACACTTGGTCCCTATCCCCATATTGGGTTAGTTGACTATGGATGGAACGTGAGCTCTTCAACTCCTGACTGGCTACTCACAGACTTGCCTGGTCTCTGAGAGCATGTGCACCTGTTTCCCCAGCCTTTCAGTGGAAAGAGGCTTCCTGTACCTCATAGCTTGAGGTGAGGAATCTGAATCTCAGAGATAGGAAGTGGCTTGCCAGAGGCAGAGGTGTTATTTGCCTGTCAAGAGCCCTCCTCAGGTAGCCCTTCTCCCTTTTTAGGCCATGGCCCGAGATGAGAAGAATTACTATCAAGATACCCCAAAACAGATTCGGAATAAGATCAACGTCTATAAACGTTTTTACCCAGCTGAGTGGCAAGACTTCATCGATTCTCTGCATAAGAATAAAATGGAGGTTGAGTGACTGGTTGACGACTATCTCTGGCTGAGGCCTCCTCCTGGACCAGAGAAGCTGAAGCTCTGTTAAGGCAAGGAGGGGTATGACTATAGGTGGTGTTGATTGCCTATGCAATCATAAGGTTACACACATACATTCCTTCCCCCTCTTGGGAGGGGCCTCATACCAAGGAACAATCTCCCAGAAGCTCTCTTTTATATACTTCTGGGTGCTCAGGAAGAAGCCAGAGCCTGCTGTTTATGGAGTGGTTTGTTTGAATAGTTTGTACATAACAAAACAAAGCTATTTTACTTCTCTGATTGTATTGAATTTGCCCCTCCCAGCCAAGTCCTGAGGCTGCCCCTGTGAAAACCAGCTCACCCAAGGCAGGAAGGCCATCCAGCCCTTCAGCCTTGCTACATTCACATGCCTTCCTAGGCCCAGCCTCCCTCCTATTCTCACCTGCCGTTGGTCCTATTGCTGTCTGCCTTGGTTTCCTACAGCAGTTCCATTAACCCTTATACAGAAGCCCACCTGGAACTCTGGGCTACTTAGAAGGGGCCAGCCTTACTACCAGTGCTAGCCTCATCCTTTAGCAAGAGGTTGGTGGGGTGACTCCCCATGTCCCTGGCACTGTGAGGTGCCACAGGGTCAGGAGCTATACTGTTGCTCCTGGTCTGCCTTCATGTTACCTGCCATTGTTGCTGCTGTGGACTGTCATGTTAGCCTTGGAACAAAGTGAACCTGAAGTCATCCCCAGACCCCACTTCTGGGGCTTTCTGGTGGACCACTGAATACCACACTGCATGGCCTGCTTTGGGGAGAGGCCTGCCTTATTTGGTTGGTCACATGTGAGGAGGTGATGACTTACATAGAGATCACTACCAGCTAAGACACTTGCCTGCTAACCAGACGGCTGGCGGTTCAAACCCACCAGCCACTCCTCGGAAGGAAGGTTGGGCAATCCTACTTCCGTAGTGATACTGCCTCGGAAACCCAAGGAGGGGTCGCTATGGGGCCGACTCTACGGCACATAACAACAACAACAACAACAACAACAACAACCAGCTTGAGGGGAGCTCTGGTAGCATAGTGCCTAAGGCACTTGACTGCTAACCAGAAGGCTGGCAGTTGAAACCCACCAGCCACTCCCTTGGAAGGAAGGTGGGGCAATCTACTTACGTAGTGATTGTTGTTGTTGTTGTTATGTGCCGTGGAGTCAGACTTGACTCATAGCGACCCCTCCTTGGGTTTCCGAGGCAGTGAGGCAGTATCACTACGGAAGTAGATTGCCCCATCTTCCTTCCGAGGAGTGGCTGGTGGGTTTCGGAAAACCAAAGAGGGGTTGCTATGAGTCAGGACCAACTCAACAGCAATTATAACACAACCACCAGCTTGTATGGCGGGCCCTTGACGTTTTCTTGAGTTTTGATAACTTTATCCCCAATTATTAATAGATTCCTAAGGTTTCTCTTAGGAGCTCTTGTAGCATAGTGCCTGAGGCACTTGACTGCTAACCAGAAGGCTGGCGGTTCAAACCCACCTCGGAAGGAAGGTTGGGCAATCTACTTCCGTAGTGATACTGCCTCAGCAACCCAAGGAAGGGTCACTATGAGTCAGGTCCAACTCGATGGCACATAACAAGGTTTCTCTTTAAGAGACATCTGTAACCTATCTCTTCTTGCTGCTGTTGAAAAGATGGGCTTGGTCGTCTTACATCTTAGATCATTCCACGCAAGACCCTGTAAGGTGGTTGGTTTTGTCTTCATCTTACAGGTAAGGCTTAATGCCAAGTTTAGCATTTAAGACTAGGCTCTTTGTTAGCTGTCCTCCCCTCTGGCCCCTGAAGGCAGCCCATCCATCCCCACACTATGAAGGTAAGCTGGAAGGTAAGGCAAGCTGGAAGAGTTCCAGAAGCCCTGCCTGGTCATACTCCACCACTTGTAACCACTGTGAGCATAGCTGTTAGGACCCAGGCTGAAGCAGAGTTCTTAGGAGCCTCATAACTCAATACCCCCAAGATCCGAGACACATTCACCTTTGACAATGTTGCTGCTTGCCCTTGTTTCCTTACACAGGTCAGATGCCAATTTACAGCAGCTTTCCTATCTCCTGCTCCAGGCTATATAACTGATCCTGTACTCCCCTCACTTTAGACTTCCTGTAGTAACACTTACCACTGTCTTGTCTTTTAATGTGCTTGACATCTTCCATCAGACAGCTTTAGGACAGGGACCTTGCTGGGGAATCCAGGGAGCCTGGCTTGGAGCAGGTGTGGGGCATGCCTATGTTATGCATGAGTACATGGTTCTGTGACCTCCATCCTGACCTTTGGCTGCAGGCAGACTTCTTTGCTCCTGTTTCTCAGCCACCCCTCTAAGTCAGCAAGAACTCCTCGCAAGGGATGGTGGGGGAAGGGTTGAGTTAGGCCAAAGCTGAGGATCCTTACAACACCCCTTCCCAGGACACTGGGACTTGGTATTTGACACGACAGGTTATTGTCACAAGGACATGTTCCAGCACCGCATTCCACAGCTGCCCCTTACTGCACCCAGCACCCACTTCTCAAAATCAAATGAAACCACATCAGAGGTTTTGGCATTTATTCGGTACCTCAAATGTCCAGGGATATTCCCATTTTATGCAGTCTGTCCTTGGCAGCCCTGTGGTCTGGGCTGATACAGCAAGATCCCCTTACTTCTGGATCTTTGCTGGAAATCCTCTTCCTGTCCCTTAACAGGCCCACCTCCCAGAGGTAGTACTTGAGAAGCTGTAGGTCCCCCTTTTTATAACTGCTGGAAAGGACTTTGTATTCAAAATAACCAATCATGACCTCTGGGGATTTGTAAGCCAGAAAGCAAACTATTGGCTATCTTCTCAGATATCTCAGGTGTGTGGTCCAGAGCGGCTGCACAACCCACGCCACAAGCTGGTTTCAGCAGCTGGCTGGAAATGCTGGCAACTCCTACCCAAACTAAGCATGTGAAGAACAGTGTTTTTCAAAGGCAGATGGAAATGTTCTGTGGAGAATTTGATGTTTCACAGGAGTTGTCAAGACTCTTCGTCAGCACCTCTGCAGAGGACTATGAGGCCATAGATTTCCTCCTCTAGTCCTTATAGCTGCACACTGCTGCTATAGCCTAAGTTTAAATACTTGTAATTCTGGCCACCAAGAAAAGCCACAGGTGGCTTCTTGGGATGGGCAACAAGTCCAACATGGCAGTCTCAGTAGCCTGAGGAGCCCTTTTGCCCAGACCATCCAAGTGTCCAAGCTCTGGGTCAGGCTGGCCTCTCCTCAGGGATGGCAACAGGTCAGAGATGGAAAAATCAGAAGCCATGGTAACTTCAGAACAAAAGCCCTCACCTACACCCCAGTGCCAAAGGGAAGAACAGGCACCAGTTCAACAGGTTAAGTAGCCCACCCTGGCAGATCCAGAGCTGTCTTCAGTAGGGTAACTGTGCCAGCTGCCAAGCAGGTGGTCTGGGTTCCATAATCAGGCATATTTAGGAGCCACTGGGTAAGATCACCAGCAGGCCAGGCATGAGTTGAGGTTCTTAAGGCCTGGTCCCAACTTTTCCCAAGTCCAGTCCTGGTCAGCAGATAGCATGGTTTGTGACTTTGCCTGGGTGATGGCCAGCAGCTCCTCAAGAGACCGGCTGTCATCCACTAATGTGATGAGGCAACCCACAGGCAGGAGAATGCCTCTATTCTGTGTCACAGGGAGGAGTGACACTGAGGACTTTTGGTGTTCAGTGATATAAGTCCTCCAATGTGTTTGAACATGGCCATTCACAGGGGCATCTCAGATAAAAGTAGCTCAATGCTCTAAGTTCCCCTTCCTGACTGAGGACTTTAAACTGTATTACACAATGCTACTCATTAGGCCAAAAGAGCTATTAGAAAAAAGGGCCCACCTCAACAATTAATGCTGGTTCCAGATATTAACCTTCAAGTAGAGAACAAAGTGATGTTCCCAGTCCCAGGGGAACTTGAACTTCCAACTTAACTTTTACTTGCCCTTTGTTGTCATGTAAATTCTTCAGCACGATCATTTTCACTTGCTGCATGTGCAGCTTTTAAATTATTGAAAATGCTTTGAGCCTTTTCTTGCACTAAAGTAAGGCTAAATAAGAACCATATGCACCTGTTCTGACTTACCTACAAATCTGACTTAGAGACACACTCAGAACTAATCTTGTTTTCTAACCTGCAGGCTGCCTATAGCTTCTCACCTTTCCAATGACAAAATGAAAAGTCACAAAAAGCAAAACTTCACTTACTTTTCTAATTAATCTGCTGACTTCTGGAGCTCCCCACCTACTTCCCTCCCAGGTGCCTCTTCTTGCACTGGCTGTAGTATGGAACTGAAGCATACTGGGTAAATGGCAAATGAAGGCACATCATCTCTATGCTCAAGTCAAAAGCAAACGGAGTTGGATATTTAAGGAAAAAAACAAACAAACATGCATTTGTGGCTGCTGATTTATTCAGTGGCCCCCGACAGACTAAAGTTTCCTGCCTATACTAAAGTGACAACAGAGACAGTCCTCAAACTGGCTGATCACCGAGGTACAGGAACATGATGGAACGTGCTCCTAACTCTGCTTATGTCAGGGAAGAAACAGGTCCATAAAGATTGAGTGTTGCACCTCAGGCAGCCCTACAACTTGCTCTGCTATGGCCCCACCCAGAAGTTTTTCTTTTCACCTGTATTCACGTGATGAAATGTCCTCTCCCAGAGTTACCTACTATCTATTCAGAAGGTGGCTGTGTCCCTTCATACTGGACTGTGTGATCGAGTTTAAGTGCACTGGGATTAGTGTGAAGCAGTACAACATTAGACAGTTCAAAGGTCAGGTAATGGGGGAGCTACAGCTTTGTCTCATGATTCTAGCTACTTCCAAATATTTTATGACAATCCATCTGGGGTTTTGACAATAGCACCAAGGAAAAAGAGCCTAGAACTTTGGCATGTTCCTTTTATAAATAAATAAATAAAATGCATGTCTGAGGCCAACACCCACCTCTCCTGGACAGTCTCCTCCTGGGGGCACAAGCGCCTCCCTTCCCCAGATTTGTGTAAACCTGGGCATTGGCACAGTTAGTGCTTAGCAGCTTCTGTCTCCAGATTAGGAAAAAAAGCGAAATAGCCTTCAGTTTTTCTGACTGGTTGTTGAATGTCTCTTACTTTGTAGTCAAGACAGGCTGGCAGGCCAAGACTTGGCTCTGGGGCAGTGGTGGGAGGTGCTGGTGGGTGAAACAAGGACATCTTCAGAAAGCTGCTTACTAGAATCTTCAGCTTCATTCTAACACTTCTTTTCTCCACAACTGGGATATGTATCTCTAAGTCAGAAAAGACTATGGAAATCACTCCCCTTTAAAAATTAAGTCCCTTGGTACAGAAAGCCAAGAGACTGCACAAGGCCATGGCAAGCAAGTTAGGCACAGCTATGGCTGGAATGTACTGCAGGGCTGGGAGGCAGGGCTCGGGGATGCTGCCTAGAACCTGCCCACAAGTCACCAGGAGGAATAGGCGAGCCTGGGAGATTTTGTGGCTCCTGAAATACTTCTGACACATGCTTGGTCCTTCCACTTCTAAGACCGCAGTGAGGCAAGGATGGAGCACTGAGCATCTAACCGTCCAGGTAAGAGTGGTGGAAGGCTGGGTCACCATTCTAGCCTAGAATGGGCAGGACATGATCCTCTCCCGTCCTCTGCCTGTCTGCCTTCCTTCCTCCCTCTCTGCATCAGCCCCAAAGATACCTCCTCAGGAAGGCTTCTGCAAGGTTCTTGGCCCTGTCAAGTCCTTCCTGCGTGGAAGAGAGAAGGGAACTAGTGCCATGTGGCTCCATCTCAGGCCCCGGCCAGCGATGAGGAAGCAGGAACAGTAGGAGGACTGGGTCCCAGGATGCTGAGGAGGGGGCTTCAGCTTAGGAGAGAAGCTCCAGCAGCAGCCTCCAGATGTGCACGGTACCAGGCTCACTGAAGCCAGGCCCTGCGGGGGCAATGCTGGCTGCCAAAAGGAACACCTCACGTTGGTTGTCAATGGCCTGAAGGCCCAGCTCTCGCTGCAGTTCTACCACACTCATGGCCTCACTCAGGTCCTGGGGAAACAGAGCAGCCAGTCAGAACAGGGCAATGGTTCTTCCCAGCATCCTCCCATCCTTCGCATCCATAAAGTAATTGTTCTTGGGCTACCAGGGGAGCAGCAGGGCCCAAACCCAGAAGCAGCCTCTGGAACCCTTGGTCTAAACTCAATCCTCTTCCTCATTTCTGACTCTCCTGTGTACCAAGCTCTTGTCATCCACCATCAGCCACTTAGGTAAGAAACTGAGCACTTCCTATACATCAGGTATTTTGATGACAAAGCTTATGATCCTTAGAGGAATCCTAACTCAGTTCGCTAAACTCACCAATGGAGAGATCTTACAGTGGGGTCATGTCCCAGGTAAGGGCCTTATCTTACTTCCCCACGAACCTGGCTAAAGAAAAAAATGGGGCCAATATATAGCATGGTAACAGTACATTTTATATTCTAACCCTGGTCCAAGATCGAGACGATTCATCTTGCAACAGTCCATAGACTGCTGGACCTTTCATTCAGTCTCCTGTTGGTCCAAAATTGCTTTAAGTTATAATTTATAAACAGGATGATGATATAATTTATTGTCCAAACCACTTCTGAGACTCAAAAGGGGCACTGATTTTTATTGTGATTTGGGTGAAAAGTCTACAGAGCAAATTCATTTTCCATACGGCAGTTCCTATGCATTTTGTTTCATGACATTGATTGCAATTCCCCACAATGTAACAGCTCTCTTCCTACTTCCTCCCTGTAGTTACCTCTTCCCTATGTCCTTCTTTCCCATGTATTCCTGCCTCCTGATCTATCTCCCTGTGCAAATACCGCCCTTCTGCTCTCCCATGACTGATCGCTCTAAAGAGTATGTTCACCCTATATGCCTGTCTATTGTTTGGCCACAGTAATGTGTTCAATTCCAGACCTGTAGGGTAACCAGGCACCATAGTCTTGGGAGTCTCACCAGGCTCTATCAGACCAGTAAACCTGGTCTTTTTTTTATGATTTTTAGTTCTGTCCCACATCATTTTCCTACTCTATCCAGGATCTCCTGCACTATCCCTTTCCAAGTGGTACCTGGGCACCATCTAGTTCTTCTGGTCTCATGGTCATATAAGCTGAGGTTCGCATGATCTATTAGTCCCCTGGACTAATTGTTTCCATGTGTCTCAAAGGGGGCACTATTAATAGTGATACCAGAACAATGGCATTAATGGAACTGTTTAGGGCTGACAGAACATATGGTCACCATATTGAGAAATGATCATCAAGTCTTTCCGAACAGGCAGGGGAAATGTGAGGTCAAAGATGTGTAATCTCTTTTCAAGCAGGTTGGAAGGTTCCCACAGCTCAGGTTCTAGGAGTTATGACAGAGCTCTGTGCTGTGGCCATCTCACAGGTGCTGAGAATGCCACCTAAGGTCTGTGATTGAGGGCTGTGGGGCCCAGGGCAGCTCCCTAGCCCTGGGAGAGGTACAGTATAGAGGTTAAGATCAAGAACTTTGAGAAGAACTTAGCTCAAGTTCTGGCTCTGCTATAAACTTTCTGTAACTTTAGGTACTTCTCTAAACTAAAAAAAACCAAACTCACTGTCATCGAGTCAATTCCGACTCACAGCAGCCCCCCTGGGGTTCCGAGGCAGTATCTCTATGGAAGTAAGTTTGCCCAGTCTTCCTTCCAAGGAGTGGCTGATGGGTTTGAACCACCAGCCTTGTGGTTTGCAGTCAAATAAATGCCTTAGGTACTATGCCATCAGAGCTCCCAGGTACTTCTCTGTTATTGTTATTTGCTGTCGAGTCAGACCCGATTCATAGCGATCCCTCCTTGGGTTTCTGAGGTGTTATCACTATGGAAGTAGATTGCCCAACATTCCTTCCAAGGAGTGGCTCGTGGGTTTGAACCGCTGGCCTTCTGGTTAGCAGTCAAGTGCCTTAGGCACTACACTACCAGAGTTACTTCTCTAGGTCTCAATATTTGCAAGGTGAGGATAACAGTGGATAGCGAACAGAGGATAGTGAAGGGCCTATCATGGGCTTCTTGTAGGACTTAATTAGCAAGCTTAGCACTGTGCCTGGCACACCATAAGCAATAAATGTTAGTTATTATTATTTAATCCATTCTACTTCTCACCACTTCCCAGCATTGGCTCTGTGGTCTATAGCCAGAAGTCACAAGGGCACAACAGAGTGGAAGAGACACAGATTTTAGAGTTAGACATATCCCTCCCACCACTTCAAGCTGTACAACCTTGGGGAGATTATACAACTTCTCTGAGTTTCAAATTTCCCATCTGCAAAATGGGAATACTATTCTATACCTTATAGGATCAAAAGAAACAGTAATATGTCATTCAACACAACACTAGGCACATAAAACCCAGCCAGCTGCGAGTTGGGTGACTCATGGCAATCCCATGTGTGTCACAGTAAAACTGTGCTCTATAGGATTTGTAATGACTGATTTTTTGGAAAGAGATCACCAGGCCTTTCTTCTGAGGTATTTCTGGGTAGTCCTGAACCCCTAACCTCTCAGTCAGTCAGTCATCAACTGCTTAACCATTTGTGCCACTCAGGTACTCACCCACTTGGCATATAATAAACAAAAAAAACCCATCACTGCTATCACGTCAGTTCCGAATCACAGCAACCCCTCCTTGGGTTTCCGAGGCATCTCTACAGAAGTGGACTGCCCAGTCTTCCTTTCACAGAGTGTCTGATGGGTTTGAACCACCAATCTTTTGGTTAGCAGTCGAATGCCTTACGCACTATGCCACCAGACTCCTTGGCATATAATAGGTGCTTAATAATTATATTTTCATCTCTCTAGGGTGAGAGATGATAAGAGAAGCAGAGAGGAAGGAAGACAGAGCTTAGGAATGAGGCCAGGGAACAGGCAGAGGAGATGGGAACAGTATCTTAGCCAGGCTTGCCAAGCCACGACCTGGGTCTGAATCCCCAGATGCTTCCTGCCCTGCCCAGACATCTGTGGGTGGAGGCCCAGTTGGCCTGAGTTAGCTTCCCTGCAGCCCTCACCTGCTTATTAGCCACCACGACGACAGGCAGATCAGGGTCCTTGTCCAGCAGCTTGTGTAGCTCCTGCCGGGCCCGCTGCAGGCGTAGCCGGTCAGCTGAGTCCACCATGAACACCAGCACATCCACCTCATTCACAAATTCCTTCCAGTAGAAGCGCAGGTTTTGGCTGCCACCGACTGTGGAGAGGCCAGGAGCCAGCTCAGAGCCACCCTTGGCCCTGGCTTGCCATATACAGCCCGAGCCCTACCCACTTCCTGCCTCCTAAGGTACCACCAGCTAGGGGAAAAGAAAAGGCCACAGGTTCCAGGGCCCAGCAGACCTGGGTTCAGCCCTAGTTCTGCCTGCAGGGTCTCCTTGGACAAGTCTCTGCCTTCAAGCACCAGTCTCTTCACCAAACTCACCAAACAAATTGCAGTAAAACCCAAAGATACCATATGCAATGCACTTGTTCTAAGACTGTCATGTAACAGGGGCTCAGTAAATGGTTCTCTCCATTTCTCTCTTCTGGCCTGCCTTCCTTCCTGACAATTCCTAGCTTCATCCTGGGTCCGTGATGGCTGTGATAGAAGCCAAGAGTCCCAACACCTAGAAGTCAAGACCCTTCCACCCCCTTCTTGTGCCCAGCCCTCCACTTAAAATTCTCCCAAATGGTCTGGTCACCCCATTCTCTTTCCCTGGAAACGCTGTACTCAGTGGTTGCCACCACACTGCCCTCAGCCTGGGGTGCATTCCTATTTCTCTCTGGCCCTCTGCACAGTCCCCATTGGTCACCCTGCATCATAATGTTCCTAGTTCTAGCTCTGACACTTATGAACTCTAAGCTCTTTGAGAGTTAAGAGCCATTTACCTCTGGATCCCCTCAAAGCCCTCAGCACAATGCCTGGCACACAGCAAGCACTCAACAAGTATTAACTGAGTGCTTACTAGGTGCCAAGCACTGACCTGGGTGCTGAGATGCAGAGGTGAGCAAGGCAGGCAGGGGCCCTGCTCTCAAGGCACTCCCTCCCTGATCAGGTAAACATGGCAATGATACATAAATGTATTTTACAACGGAAGGAGATGGAACAAAAAGAATGGCAGTGGTGGTGGAGGGTAGCTTTGAGTTAGGTGGTTTCGGAGGGTCTTCCCAAAGAGGTGGCATGTGAGCAGAGTCTGGGATGATAAGAAGCCAGCCATGGAAGAGCATGACAGAGGGGAGAGCAAGCTGGGTGTATTTAAGATAGAGGAAGAAGGCCAGGCTGGCTGAGAGAAGGAGTGTAACCAGTGAGGCTACCTGAACTGCCTGTATTACATAAGGCATATAGGGTAGGGAGGTTATGAATTTTAAGTAAGAGTGACATGATCTGAGATCAATTATTGAAAGATCCTCTGGCTGACATTGGGGATGGAAATGGAAGCAGGAAGAACAGTGAGGAGGCTGTTGCAGTATTGAGGGGAGATGACGGTGGCTTGGACCTGGGAGACTAGGGTGGAGATAGGGAGGAGACAAACTCAGAATTTACTGGAGGATAACTAACAGAACTAGTAATAAATTGGATAGGAGGTGGGGGGAGGGGAGGCATCATCAATGAGGATTTAATTTATTCGTTCAATCATCAATTATCTACAAAGGGCCCAATCTCTGCTGGGCCGCAAGTGGGGTATTGTAGGGTACCACTGTGAAGTGACTGTTGGTGGGGGATTGCCCTAGGACTTGATTGATATATCTGGGCTTAATCCTGTCTGAGTGACCTACTGAGCTTAGACTGTTACATAGGCCCTCAGGTAACACTAAAACACAATCCTTTCCTCCCAGGGTTGGGGGTGGGTGGCTACTGTCTGTCAGACTGAGAGGGTCTCGAGCGTAGAGACCCCACTGGACCTATCTGTGTCCCTGGCACAGGGAGGGTACCGGGGAAAGCTTGTTGAAAGGACCAGAATCCCAGGAGACTATCAGTGTTTGCTCTAACCAGGGAGGAAAGCAACAGCTCCAGCCAGGTCCTCTGAGCCTGATACACCTAGCCTCAGCACCTAGCATCTGACTAAACCCAGCCAGTCTTTATAGGTCTCAGTCCTCTGGAGGGCAGGAAGTCCACCTGGTCCTGGGCAGAAGGAGCTAAATACTCATACCCTCCAAAACCTTCTGCCATTCTCCTCTAAGAGCCCAGGAAGCCCTAGGACTGAGGGCAGGGGCTGCTCAGACCTTCTCTGATCACTCACAACAAGCCCTCTAAAGAACCTGTGTCTAGGGCCCTATGGGCTAGTGATGGGTCAGACCTGTCTATGCCCTACATGCCATGGCAAATATTGTAGTAGGAGGCACAGGGCTTGGAGAACCCGGTGTAGAAGCCCATAACCTAGCCAGGGACATCATGCTTAAATTAAATCTTAATTAAGAATTAAATTATAATTTAATTAATTAATTAAGTCTGAGTAGCAGTTTACTGCTGGAAGAGGACTTTTCAGGCTGAAGGAAGAGTGCATATAAAGAACAGGAAGTAAGAAGAGAACAGTAAGCACCCATTCAGAACCAGCAGTGGAGCGTGGTGTTTCCAGGGAGGGCTTAGAGGCACAGGGAGGGATGGGAAGGATTTCTCATGCAGGGATCTGTCCTTCTTAGATCTGTAATTTGGAGCCATCCACAGGCGGAGAGGCCAGGTCTGGGGCCAGCAGAGTTGATGGGGGGTGGGGTGGGGGGTGGGAATCTGCTCACTCTCTAGCAGGTCCACCTCAAAGTCCTTGGTGGGCAGCCGCACAGAGTTGAAGCCCCAGGTGGGGACGTGGCCGTCCAGCGGAGGCTTTCCAGATAGCACACGCAGGAACGTGCTTTTCCCGGAGCCGTCCAACCCCAACACCAGCACCTCTCTCTGCTCCAGCTCCTCCAGCGCTGGTTCCTCGTCCTCCTCGTCCTCGGGCTGCAGGACAGAGGTCAGGCTGCTACAAGCAACCCCTTGCCAGCCCTTCCCAAGGAAAGATCAAAGGCACCAAAGCGGCCATCCCACCCTCCACCCATTAAAGGGCAGGCAGCAGTCTGGTGTTGCGGAAAGCGTACTGCCTTGGAATCCTGAATTCCAAACTCCACTCTTAATGTTTTTCCTGAGTGATGCGAGGCAAATCCCTTCCCACAGCCTCTGCTTTCTCAGACTGATAAGTCGCGGGTCCCAGGACAGCAAGTACCCGCGACTCAGACGCTAGCCCCACTAGGGTGTTGAGAGATTCTCCCGGCATCCCTCGGGCCTCAGGGCCGGGCGCACTGCGCAGGCGCTGGGAGAGCGCAGGCTGTACTCGGTGCGGGCCTGGGGATCGCTCCGTGGTTCGCGCCTTCCAAGTTCCCTTTCGTTCCAGAAGCCACTAGCAGGCGGGACAACCCGACTTCCGCGACGTCGCACGGCGGAGGAGAAACACCCAAATGCGCTCACTCACTCTTCGGTTCCCGGACTCAACGACTGCCCGTCTGTGCAGGGCCTGCCGCTTCCGGAAGCCAAGCGAGGTTTTTCATGGTTTCTGATGAAAAACTCATTGTTAGTTTCCGCCCCCCCCACCTCTATTGGCAGTATATTACTGGCTGTTTTCAATATTTTCCTATGTTTTTAGAATTTAGAAGCTTTGCTAAGATGAATCTTGGCATGGGTTTCTTTTGAAGCGGCCGAGCCGAGCACTCCCGGCGCTCGCAGAGATGCAGCCACACCCCTTGGCCACAGGTGCGGAAGCGCAGAGCCCGGCCCAACCGTCCCTTCCGCAGCCCCAGGCCCAGCACTCACGTCCCACACGGGGAGGCGGGCAGGCTCCGCGCCCCACCAGGCCTCGCTCTCGTCCCAGCGCCGCTCCCGGCCGCGGCCGAAGTAGGTCTTCCAGAGGATGAAGAGCACCGAGCCTAGCACGGCCGCGGCACCGCCCAGCGCCAGCACCAGAGGACCCAGCGGCCGCGGCGCCATGTGGCCGGGCGAAGGGCGCAGCCGCCTAGGCGAAGCCCGGCTGCCAAAGATGGCCCCACTACGGTTGCCGCGGCCGCGCCCACCTACCCACCCCTGGCCCAGCACTACAAGCCCCACAATGCACCGCCGCTGTCGCGACAGGTCGCCCGTGACCCCTCTTGGGAGGCGGGGGGCGCCTGCCTTATGCTGGGGTCTGCTTCCTCGCTTTGCAAGGTGCAGTGTGGATCACTGAGGCTGTGCCAGGGACGATGGAATGATTTTGCACGATCCGGGCACTTGCTGTGTGCCAAGGGCTTTTCTCGATTACCCTCTACAAAAATACCTTATAGAAGAGGTAATGGAGGCCCAGGAATTAGGAGCTCTAGTAGCATAGTGCCTAAGGCACTTGACTGCTAACCAGAAGCCTGGCGGTTCAAACCCACCAGCCACTCCTCGGAAGGAAGATGGGGCAATCTACTTCCGTAGTGATACTGCCTGGAAACCCAAGGAGGGACTCGCTATGAGTCGGGTCCAACTCGATGGCACATAACAACAACAACATGCAAGGTCACACACCAGTGCATTGGACAGCCTGCATTCACTGCCAAGTGGTCTGCCTCCCAGGAATCCCTCCACCCTGGGTTGAGGTTCAGTCTTGCCTGGCTGTGGAGTGACAGGTTGTAGAGTGGCAGAGCCAGGACTGGAACCCAAGTCCCTAACTCCCAGCCCCCTCTGCTACCCTTGGTTGCTTCCCAGACCTCAGGGATTTTGCTCTCTTGGGAGCCTGAGCACTTTGATGAATCAGTCAGGGCTGAGAGTCAGACACTTTAGACATGACCTTTCATGCACTTGGTGACCCCAATGATTGCCAAGGCTTCCAAGTATAGCTCAAGAGGAGGAGCAGGAGAAATGGCTGGAGGCATAGCAGTTGGGTGCTTCCCACTGCAGAGTGACTCTGGCTGGGGTGTGGGGTGACAAAACCATTTTGATTTTCCTAGAGTCCAGATTTCTGTGTTCCTGAAATTGGGGTGACTCACCAAGGCCCTTAGGTGTCCTTTTGAAGCTGGAGCCTTCAAGGAACTGTTTTTGTAAAGTCATCTTCAAGTCAAAGGATAGTGGTGGTGGTTGTTGTGGTTACGTACAGTTGAGTCAAACCCGACTCATAGGGACCCCTCCTTGGGTTTCCGAGGCAGTATCACTATGGAAGTAGGATTGCCCAACCTTCCTTCCGAGGAGTGGCTGGTGGGTTTGAACCGCCAGCCGTCTGGTTAGCAGGCAAGTGTTTTAGCCACTATGCTACCAGAGATAGTGGAGTAAGGAGTTTATGGGAGATCATTTTGCCTTAGACATTGGGCTCTTTTAGAGAATTATCTATGTGCAGCCAGTTTCTGGGAGCAGGAACCCCAGGGTCTGACTGGAAAATGTATGGCATGTCTTTAGTAACTGTTTTTCCAACTGTCTTGAACCCTGCAAGTGTTCTGATGGCCTCTCTTGTGAAATTAGCATGATGTTTGAGGAAAAATCGTTTCAGTGCTGGGCTCTTCTGCACCTTTGGGCTCTGTATCTTAGCTTCTATACACTCTCAGGATTCAGCCCCTTCTCCTATTTTGATTTTTTACTGACAATTTCTTCCAGCATTGATTCCTCTTTTTTAATTTCCATACTAACACTTTGATAACTGGGGAGTTATGTGTAATTTATTTAGGAGGTAATGCCAAGAGACAGGAGGAGGGAATAGGGAAAATAGGACAGGGAAAAAGGAAAAACTAATATAAATAAGAGTTCAGCATCAAGGACACTGCTTGTTCTGGTTACCTAGTGCTGCTCTGACAAGAAGTACACCACAAACAGGATGGCTTTAACAAACAGGAGTTTATTCTTACAATTTGGAGGCTTTAAGTCCAAGTTCAAAGTGCCAGGCTCTAGGGGCTGGGTGATAGCCCCTCAACCTTGGTGTCCAGCTCAGCCTCTTGCTCCGGCTCACTGGAGCTGGAGGCATTTCTTCACCCAGACAGCTGCTGGCTGCTGAGGCTGAGAAGCCCCCAGGTTGACAAGTAAAAAGGCACAGTCCCGATATTATCAAACCACACAGCAGACCATTAATTTAAGTCCATTGTAAGTCCCAAGGTTGTCAGAATATGGCAGGTTACTGAGCAACGACACAGCTACATGCAGGGTCCAAGCGTGCCGTAGGCTAGAGACCATTACCAAGGCTTCTCCTTAAATACAGGAAGCAGACCACATTCCCAAAGGCAGCTACTTAGCTGCTTGTCATAGAGCCCACCATGGAGCTGATTACCAGTCTCATCATGGGGAATAACTACCACCAGCTGCCCAGCCACTCAGCCAGGCCCAGCCAAGTTGACACACAAACATAACTACCATACTGCAATAGACCTTCTGACCTGAATTCCATTGGAATTCTGAGAATAGTATCAAATGCCTCTCAGAAGGGCAGAGGGTTGGAGCATTTACTCACCAACCTATTCCCTATTGGTTGAGGCTTGCCTCTGGGGGTGTATATTAACATTGGTTTCTTGATGTTTTTTACTGTAAGCAACTCCAAGCCATCCTTTACAACTTGGGCTAATGTAGAAATGAATAAACAAAATTACAGAAATCCACCTGTTTACCACCTGTTTCTTCTACTGCAGTCATGCCTCTGGATAGAGTAGTATGCACTTCCCTCTCCTCGTCCCATGAAAACTGATCCCACTGGCTCTCCAACAAACAGGTAAAGGGAACACCTCAACCCTTACTTTGCTGGACATCCTGGAAACAGTTAACACTTAAATTTGAGATATTTGCAGGTCAATCAATAACGTTCAGCTTCAGAACCCACTGAGAAGTAAGACCATCAAATGAAAAGAAAAATGTCATCTTTATTGTCAATAAAAGCTAGTTTGGAGGAAATGGTTTATATATGAGGCCAAAATAGTCTGGTTAATACTTTCCCTTGAAACAGGCAAACTACCTACCCAGTCACTGGTATAGCAAATTAAGCAAGGACAGAAATAATATTAAAAATATTTGAGAATCCTAATACTACCCCCCCCCAAAAAAAAAAAAAAAAAAAAAAACAGAAAAAGAGGGAAACTTCCTATCTCATTCTATAACATCAGCATTATTACCCTGATATCAAAGGCAGATAAAGGCATCACAAGAAAACTAAAGACCAATATTCCTTATGGATATAGATGCAAAAATCCTCAACAAAATAGTATAAAACCAAATCCAATACCATGTTTAAAGAATAGTATGCTGGTAGCATAGTGCTAACCAGAAGGTTGGGAGTTCACTACCAGCCACTCCACAGAAGGAAGACTGGGCAATCTACTTTCTGTAAAGATTTACTGCTTCAGAAACCCAAAGGGAGTCTCTATCATGATAGAATCGATTCAATGGCAGTGAGTCTGGATGCCATGACCAAGTGGGATTTATCCTTGAAATGCAAGAGTGGTTGAACATAAGAAAATCAATCAGTGTAATGGACCACATTAATAGAACAAAGGAAAAGAACTACATGATCATATCCAATGAAAAGGCATTTGATAAATTCCAGCACCCTTATGATAGAAATAACAAACTAGGAATAGCAGGTGCAAAAAGGACATGGAGGTAGCATCTTCTGATCTCCAACCTCATGAGGTAGAAATAAAGTCACCATTAGCAGCCCAAGTCTTATCCCTATGAGGCCCAATATATTGCCACCCTCCAACCTTTTTACCAACTTTGACACCAACCATCCCTTCCATGCCACTCACTCCTTCTTGTCTGGATTTGATAATTCATTGCAGTGGCCACACAGATAATACTCATGATTATGGAGTTTATTAGGGAAACAACAGGTTACAATTCACATTCAGGAACACTCTCGGGATACAATTCTTTGATCAGGACAGTCTCTGCTATGCCCTCAGGCATGCCTCTCTGGTCCTTGACATCTTGGACTAGCCTCTGTCCTGCCCAGGCAAGTATTAAAAAGTTCTTTTAGCTCTGCCCATAGGTACACCTAGGTGCACCCCACTTTGCTAGCAAGCCTCCTGCTCAAAAGCTTTCTCACTCTGTAGGCTGGCAAGCTTACTATTCTGTCTCAGGCCTCTTGGTTTCTTTGCGGTTGTCTCAGCCAGTTGTCTCTGCCAATCATCTTTGCCAGGGAGGTCCAGTGCAAGGATCTCGGGTCCAAAGACACACTCTACTCCACCTCCAGCTATTCTCTCTCTCTCTCTCTCTCTCTCTCTTTTTTTCTTGTGATTTGGGTGAAAATTTACAGAGCAAATTTACTTTCCACAGCTAGTCTCTCTTGATGTCAGTGAGATCCCCCATTCTGCCTCTAAACCAAACCCAAAAACCAAACTCACTGCCATCAAGTCAATTCTGATTCATTGTCACTCCCTTTGGGTTTCTGAGGTGGTAAATCTTTACAGAAGTAGATTGCCCGGTCTTCCTTCCTCCAACCTTCTGGTTAGCAGTCAAATGCCTTAGGTACTGTGCCACCAGAGCTCCTTTTTATGCCTCTAAGAGAGCCATTTTAAGTCTAGCAGAATGACAAAACTAACCAATTCCCACATTAGGGTTCCATACATCTTATTTGCATGGTCTCACCCAGTAATCTGGTGGGAGTCACAAGTGGTTAGAAAAGCTTTAGCAAGTAATTCACTGTACCACAGCAGGGAAATTTTTCAACATGATAAAGGGCATTTACAAAAAACTTATAGCTAACATCATACTCAGTGGTAAAAGACTAAAAGTTTTCCCCCTAAAGTAAGGCACAAGACAAGGATGCCCACTTTCATCACTACTATTCAACATTGTACTAGACATTTTAGCCAGAGCAATTAGGTTAAACAAATAAACAAACAAAATGTTACCCAAGTTGGAAACCTAACATAAGTCATTGCCATGGAATCAGATCCGACTCATAGCAAGCCCTCTTTGGGTTTCTGAGGCAGTATCACTAAGGAAGTAGATTGCTCAATCCTCCTTCTGAGGAGTGGCTGGTGGGTTTGAACTGCCAGCCT